CAAGGGAGTGTGTGTGTGTGTGTGTGTGTGTGTGTGTGTGTACGTGTGCATGCTCTGTGTTTTAGGGTGGTTTTTTTCAGATTCCCCTTTCCTCTGAGACCTACAGAGCTCACAGTCCAAATAACTTAAATAAAATGGAAAGTAACCCCAGGATCAGAGTTAATCTTCAGCCCGCAACAGTCATAAATTAGATATTAACTGATTGGAGTATAAAGGGCATTAATTACATTTATTCTGATAACCTAATGTTTTACAAAGTGCTTTCAGATGACTAAAACTCCTCCTCTATCTTTCTCAGACGGATTTTGTCATGATAATAAAGTCTGTTTTCTGATGCCGAAGAACAGAGAGTTGACCTAGGGTCTTAAAATGGTTGTGTTTTAGTTTTCAGTTTAAGAATTTTCTCCTGTTCCTTGTAATCTGAAAAAATTCCACTCTCTCCCTTCTATATTGTAGTGCTCTATTGAGCTAGTCTCAAATCTGTTCAAAACCTTTATATTATCAGGCTTTGAATCAGATCATTACATTTTATGGCATTTAATTTGCCTAACGAGACAAACGATATGAAAGTCTGAGGCTCAACACCTCTCAGATGTACTTTTGAATATCACTCAACTATTTAAACAGATAACCTCATAACGATTAATAATACTGTCTGGGCAGATTGCAAATTATGAGTAGTTGTGCTCTCTCTACTTTACACACAGCTCAAATTTTGAAGGTGCTCAGGAAGGCCATTTTCTTGGTGCAATTGATTCTTCCATTGGTTAGATATCAGGTACCATAGGGCAAGCAATAAACAGTCAAAACAGAAACAAGTAGTAAACTGTTTTAGGTAAATTGTGCATACTATCCCATTGCAGACTCTTTTTTAAAATTCCCAATATTACCTCCTTTCCCCAAACATCTTAAACTTGACACCTATAGAGAGCAACTTCTAGAAACAACAAGTGTTACAAGTTCAGCAATCTCTTCATTCGCTTTCAGAAGAAGGCAAAAGAGAAGTGATCAACATTATTCTAAGATCTCATGGCTGAATTCATTCCTAGAATGTTGCGGAGGAAAATGCTGATGACTAAAATTTTTCCCTTGCTCTCAAAAATTCAAATATCAGCTCTCAAGGTTAGATGAGTTCTACCAATATTAAATATTCTTCAGGATTTGAGTCTAATGGTGTTATCATTGGTTAATGTATATGCTTGGATATGTAGCAACCTGTTTAGTAAAATATTTTACCACTTCAACTACAATATGTATATTCTGTCATATGACTGTAATTATATTCTAGTCAAATAACTCTAAACCTTACCTCAATCTCTTTTCTAAGTTTAGCATGCACTTTTTTCTCTTCTTCAAGCAATTTTTTCTTTTCATTGATAGACTCTTTTACCATAGTAACTTCCTCTATTAAATGTGTAATTTCTTCCTGAAGATACAAGTGGGAATTAAAAACAAAAAAACCCATACCCCATTTGTAAAACAAAGATGACTCTAGTACAAATGGGTTACCTTCTGTAATGTTATTTTAACAATCTGTTTGCATAAGCATTGACTTTAGCTAAAGAAATAAGTTCAACAATGTAAAAGTTTGACTTAAATATACTTCCTGCCTACCTAGCAAATCATATGTATTGATATAGTTACAAAAAACTACATAGTAATATTGCTCAGGGACATGACTACAGCTACAGGGATGCAACAATTTGAATTTATCTAGCACACTATTGCAAAAGTATTTAGAACTGTGCACATATACAAGACTAATAGTCAACTTTAAAAATTCAATCATGGGGTATAATGTGCATAATAGGTGAACTACATTCTCTTCCCATGTGAAATCTAATGCTAATAGAATTATGGCTATTCTGTTTATCAAAGTGTAAGCAGGGAATGAGCTCTCCCCTGACATCTAGTGATGAGCTGGGGGAAAAAGACTTGAGAACCCCACTGTATTTACATGAACACACCTACTCTGCCTCGGTATTCAGCAGACAAACTGTGTTGCCAAAGTGATCAATTTTGGCTGGTGTTGGGTTACAAATCACTTTAGCATTGAGTGCAGGGGTAAAGAAATTTTATCCTTATTGTAACGGGCAGCAGAACTGTGCTTAGCACGTGCTGATTGAGGGGGTCACCTTCAACTGAACTGCACTTGCTAAGCAGCAGATAGAGATGCCAAATCTCAATGAAAGGGGAGAGGGAGTGGGGACAGTTGTTCTTACCTGGTGGCGTGGGTTCTTTCTAAGTGTCTTAGATGCTATTTGACACTCCCCTCCCCACTTTTTAAAGACAGCGCTGATTAAATTCAGTTGAGAGTCTTTTGATATTTTAAGCGATCGCTACAGCTGAAGTCTCTGAAAACCAGTTCTAAATGCTAATCCTTAGGCCAGGTCTACACTACAGTGGCACAGTTGTGCCCATGCTGCATTTTAACTGTAGACCTGCTCTTAGACCTGCTTTGGGCAGCATTTCAGCAAAACAACCTGCAGTAGCTGTGAGATTCCCCATGAATTGCTGAAATCACTGAGAGCTGGGTTAGGTGGTGGGACCTCAAGACATGGTGTCACAGAGGTTACAGCAGAGCTACAGGTGGCAGCAGAGAAAGCGATGGTGTAGTGGCCAATGGGGGTAGAGCAAATGGCAGTGCAGTGACGGCAGCGGGCAGGGATACAAAGCAAACGGCGGCAGCTGTGAGCCAATTGCAGCGGCTATGGCTCTAGGTCTTTGCTGAACAAGGACAGCAACTGCGAGTGGGGTGCAGTGTAGGGAGAGGGGAGTGGCTTGTTAAAGGAACACTTGTTTGTGGGACTTTCACACTGTTAGGTGAGAACCTGGGGAGAAGGACACTGCCCAGCGTACTCTGGGGTGGGATGATCACATGATCACCTGCTTTTGAATATGGTTGTGGTGTTTTCCCAAACTAATGCTTGGTTCCTTTTCCCTTTTAATAAAAGTTCTTGTTTGTTATACATAGATTCAGTGCTTATGAGTGCGGACGTATTGCCTCTTAAAGGTGCCCGGAGATGGTGTTCAATTTTCCAGGTTTCCTGGGTAGGGGCTCAAGCCAGTTCTGTTTTATAGCGTTAAGATAAACCCCTAAATAGTGAACCTGGCCCTTGTTGCTGCTGACTCCACCTGGTAGAAGGGTCACATTTGTAAATGGATTTACATGTAATAAATCATTTCTCATCTATTGTAATTTTCTATGATAATGCTCAAATAGCAACGTCGCCTACATAACTAAATGATTTCTAATAAAAAAGCTGGTTTCTATACAGAGTTCATTCTCAGAGAAGAAAGAGGGGATTACAACAAGATAAAACCTTCATTCTACATAGGCTTTTTTATTGTAGAAAAGCCACATGGAATTGAAAGTATATGCAATCACAAGCCACAGCATGAAAGCAGAACAATTAATAGAGTTTACAGGCAGCAAACAGACAGCATATCTTCTATGTTCCTCTTTATAGCACCAGATGTGAATATAGATGTATATATACATTTACATAAATCTTAAATTCTAAGTTATAGTGCAGGGGTCGCCAGGTTGTACTTTAGCTATGTGAGAAGGTGAAGGGGTGAGAAAAGATGACAGAAGAAGGGAGAAGGAGAAAAAACATCAATTTTGATATGTATAATCTCCAGCAATATTGTGTGTGTGTGTGTGTAATTTTAATGCTTTATTAAATTTGTAAAAGTTAAAGCAGTCTGAGCTGCAAAAATATACAGCTATAGAGGAAAACTAAGCAACTTCATATTTGAAATTGTCTTAGAATCACAGTCTAATTCTGATGTAATTTACACTGGCATAATCAGAAGTAACTCCACTGGAGAATGGAGTTACACTACTATAACAGTAATGTGAGATTAGATTAAACCTACTGCTCTCAGACTGAAAAAAATACAAATTATCATAATAAACCAAGTCTTGCAACAAGATTAATGGACAAAATTAAGGCTTGTCATAGGAAGGTTATGTCTCATACTGACTACAATGGGGTTGCACCTGCTTATGTAAGGGCTAAGTTTGTTCAGGGTTTAGTGTCTCTTTCTTACATAAATGGCATTGAACTTTTACAATTGTTCAAATATGCCATAATCTGTACGCCCTCCCTGGGATGGCGAACTGCGGCCAGTGGGAGCCGCAATCATCTGAATCTGCTGACGCAGCAGGTAAACAAACCGGCCCGGCCCGCCAGGGTGCTTACCCTGGCGAGCAGCGTACCAGAGGTTGCCAACCCCTGCTATAGTGCATATAATCACTTGATCACCTATGTAATATACACTTTTGCCACTATAGATCTTGGGGGGGAGGGCGTACAGATTATGGCATATTTGAACAATTGTAAAAGTTCAATTTACGTAAGAAAGAGACACTAAACCCTGAACAAACTTAGCCCTTACATAAGCAGGTGCAACCCCATTGTAGTCAGTATGAGACATAACCTTCCTATGACAAGCCTTAATTTTGTCCATTAATCTTGTTGCAAGACTTGGTTTATTATGATAATTTGTTTTGTTTTTTTCAGTCTGAGAGCAGTAGGTTTAATCTAATCTCACATTACTGTTATAGTAGTGTAACTCCATTCTCCAGTGGAGTTACTTCTGATTATGCCAGTGTAAATTACATCAGAATTAGACTCTGTGATTCTAAGACAATTCCAAATATGAAGTTGCTTAGTTTTCCTCTATAGCTGTACATTTTTGCAGCTCAGACTGCTTTAACTTTTACAAATTTAATAAAGCATTAAAATTACACACACACACACACACAATTGCTGGAGATTATACATATCAAAATTGATGTTTTTTCTCCTTCTCCCTTCTTCTGTCATCTTTTCTCACCCCTTCACCTTCTGTTCTCACATAGCTCAAGTACAATTTGTTACCAACTAAACACTGTGCTGTTCGCTGACACTAGTAATGTAGTAACATTTACAGGGATATACAGTGTGTGTTCTGAAAAGTGTATATGTAGGTTTATCCAAGACCTTGCAGTATCCTACAAATAACAGTGGAGGCAACTGATGCATTTTAGCTGACAGCACTGTAGTTTTTTCACAGCCAAGTTAATGTTGTTATATCAGGTGAACTTAGCTTTTGGAATCAAACATCAAGAATAGTGGCTGGTACCATTTTTACTGTAAACTAAAATCACCATTTACTCAATCTAGCTTAGGCAATGAACCCAGATATTACATGTTTCCGCACACCATAGCAAGCACTGCAAAGCTAGACCAGATTATTATTTAAAATTGTAAAATATTTTTGTACATAATAAGAAAGGTATCTAGAAACAGAAACATCTGACCTGCACTTGTTTTATAACTTGTCCTTCAGGATTCTGGAGGTCATTCATTAATTCTTCTTTCTTTGTCTTTAGCTCTTGAACCATGTCTTGTTTTTTAGCAAGTTCGAGCATAACTGGCATTTTGCTTTCTGCTTCCCAATAACGCTCTTTATGAGCCATTATTTTCTCATGATATGCACCATTTCTTGCGAGCATCATCTCAAATTCTTCTTGTGCTGCTTCCGTGTCAAGTTTCAGCTTTATCTTTTCAGCATATAGGGATCTGACTTGGGACTCCAGACTTTCACAGTGATATTTTGTAGTTTCTATGTCATCATCTTGCTGATAAATTTGCCTTTCTGTTGCCTTTGTTTCTAATAAAGCAGAGTCCATTTGTTTTTCAAGTTCTTGAAGCTCAGCCTGTAAAATATTGTAATATTCTCCTATCAGTGGAAAGCCAATGTTTGGGAGTCTAGCAGCAAGCTATTGAAACAATATCATCTACATTTAGTTAACAGAATTCGTTCTTTTCATTTAATACAGAACACACAATAAAGAAATCTATGCAACTTAAAAATAGTTTGAATAGAAGAGATCCATTTACTAAAATCATCACCAAGAGACATGACAGGTGATAATATCTGAGGCTTTGTCGGATTGGTCTTAAAGATAAGTGTACATGAAATTTGTTATCTTTCAAATGGGTTCAGTTTCCTCATATTCAGATGATGTATAGTGGGATGTGTCAGAGACCCTAACCGTATCAGTCTTCCTAATGTTTTATCTAAACTAGGAGTTTAGACCAAACTAAAGTCGACTGCTTTTTCTATTGCAGATGCGGGGTAAAATCAGGAGACAACAGACTAAAACCAAGGTAAAGGTGTCACTCTGCATCTATATTAGGAAAAGTGGCTGAGTTAATTGGGTTTAGCTAACTCAATTCGATCTAGATTCTTACACTGCTCTCATCACCATAATATCTGAGGGCCTTCCAATAATACATTAAGTGACATGAATCACATCTCTCAGGTGTAGTTTGTTCTCTCTTTCTCATGTTCTCCCGAGGGGGAGAATTGCATGTGCAGTGTAAAGTTTTTTGTTTTGGTTTAGGTATGGAGTTTTGTAAAAACGTATGGGCTGCTATGTGTTTATTTTAGGTCAAGGAAGTATGCCTTTCACTTGCAGTGGGAGGTAGTGATGGTCCTTAGTTCCTGTCAACTTATGTTAACTCACATCTTCCTAGCATCAACCACTTTTTCCTAGTCTAGATAGGCCTAAATCTTGTGATCTCCAGGACTTTTAGAAGGTATTTGACTTAGTACCACCTGACATTCCGAGGAAAAAAATAGCAATATACAAAATCACATATTAAATTGATCAAAAACTGGCTAAGTGATTCATCTAAAAAGTAGTTTTAAATGGTGAATTGTCATCCAATGGCTCATCTCTAATGAGATACAACAGGGATATGCTCTGGGCCCAATGCTATTCAATCTCTTTATCAGTAATCTGGAAGAAAATATAAAATCATCACTGGTAAAGTTTGTTGATGACACAATAATTAGTGGAGAGGTAAATGATGATAAAGACAGATTTCTATAGAGAGATCTCTACAGAGAGATCTCAATTTTGTGGTAAGCTGGGCTTACTCGATCAAAATGTTTTAATACAGCTAAATGCATGGTCATACATTTAGGAACCAAGAATGTAGGGCACATTAATAGGACTATGGACTATATTTTGGAAGGCTCAGAAATGGATTTAAGGGTCATGAGGACAACCAACTAAACACTAACTCACCTTGTAATGCAGATGCTAAGAGAGCAAATATGATTCTTAGAAGTATATGCAGGGGAATATCAAGTAGGAGCATGGTATTAACACCATACACAACATTAGAGAGACTATTACTGGAATAGTGTCCAGTTCTGGTGTCCACATTTTTAAAAGGATGTTGAAAAATAGTAAAGGGTTCAGAAAAGATCTATGAGAATGATTCAAGGTCTGGAAAATCTGCCTTACACTGAGAGTCTAAAGAAGTGAGATCTGTTTAGTTAATCCAAGAGAAGGTTAAGAGGTGATTTGATTAAGGTCTGTAAGTACCTACATGGGGAGAAGATTTCTGACAATAGAGGGCTCTTTAATTTAGCAGACAAAGGCATAATGAGATCTGATGGCTGGAAGCTGAAACTAGGCAAATTCAGACTAGAAATAATTCGGAAATATTTAACAGTGAGGGTAATTATCCATTGGAACAACTTATCCAGAGCTGTGGTGGATTTTTTTATTACTTTAAATCAAGCTGTAGCTCAGCCAGATTTATGGGCTTGATGTGGGAATCAGTTGATGAAATTCTATGGCCTTTGTTAAGTAAATTATCCTAGCTGATGATAATGGTGCCTTCTGGTCTTAATATCTATGAATAAAACTAGACTGGACTCAGCATTTGACAATATAAAATAAGGAACAATAATGAAATGGTAGTGATTGGCAAAATAACCTACTACTGTATGTCTTTTCCATCTCTGTTTACTATGATGGTATCAGCAGGAGAGTGCATACCTACTCAAAGGCACACTGACAAGTGAAAATGCTGGAGGGATATCTATGTGGCTACAAGCACTAATGGTCTAAATTAAGTCACATTGCTGTAAAGTTACTGACTCCACGTACAGTACTGAAGTCTCTAAAGTAAACAGCTGACAAGCTAAACCAAAAAGAATTAATTTAACAACATGTCCAGAAATTGAAGAGCTAATCATGAACACTATCATAAACATGTTCAATTTAGAATGCAGGCACGTTGTTAGGCAGGACTGTTACATGGAGGACCTGTATAACGGTATGAGGAGGGACATCAGCTATGAAGCTGAATTCCTTGACAGGACTAAGGAGAATGACCCTATATTGTTTATATAGAACTTTTTTCAAATCTTAGATTACAAGAGAGAAACTTTCAGTAGAACTGGCATCATCTCTGATCTACCAGCCATCTAGGATAGACAAGTGAAAGGTCCTAATGGCAAAGATCTTGAATTTTGGAGAAGAAACAACTGTTTTATGTGTTTTCTGTGAAATACACATAAGAAAGTAGAGTTAGAGATGTACATACAATCTTAATTTTGGTGTTTCCTGACTTTTGAGTACATAACTATTCAACCTTAACATTAATGCTAGCTTTTGTATGGAATGTTCTAGGTTAAAAAAATTAAGAAACTAAAAGAAAATGAATGAGTGTAATTGTCCAGGACTTTGAAGCTCTGTGGGCTTCCCAAAAGTTGCATATAACCTGTGTAAATATTATAATCTAGAACTATTTGCTGCAACAATATCTCAATATTCTGCTGCATGCCCCTTAGGAAGTCTGCAGGAAGAGGCACCTCTGCTGCAGGTGATAAAAGCTTTCAAGGTATGTCAGGCCCAGGTTCCCTCTGGTGAGCCATAAACATTGTCTGCAGAAATGAACCCCTCTGCCATGTGCCCCAGAAGGTCTAAAGAATCATAGAATATCAGGGTTGGAAGGGACCTCAGGAGGTCATCCAGTCCAACCCCCTGCTCAAAGCAGGACCAATCCCCAGACAGATTTTTGCCCCAGATCCCTAAATGGCCCCCTCAGGGATGGAACTCACTTGATATTCCCCTGCCTATACTTCTAAGAATCATATTTGCTCTCTTAGCATATGCATTACAAGGTGAGTTAGTGTTTAGCTGGTTGTCCTCATGACCCTTAAATCCATTTCTAAGCCTTCCAAAATACAGTCCATAGTCCTATTAACGTGCCCTACATTCTTGGTTCCTTAGAAGATCCAAAGGGGATACCTCTCCTGAGCTCCCAAATTGGGGAAGGTGCAGGGGAGCTACTAAGGTAGATAGAGGATTGATAAGGTAATAAAGGGGCCTCTAACTTGTGCACCTTAAAAAGACGGCAGGAGCCCATCGCTCAGTGGTGATTCTCCTTACTGGTTTCAGCAGTATGGATGACTTGCCGTTGAGTGTGAAACGTGGAGACTTGCATCTGAAGAAGTGGGTTTTTTTCCCACAAAAGCTTATGGCCAAATAAATCTGTTAATCTTTAAGGTGCCACCGGACTCCTCATTTTTTTTAAGAATGGACTAACTGCCTTAACTTTGAATTAAGATACCCCAGAAAAATAGAGAAATATCAGCTTCCCTTATTCAGAGTAATACTTCCTTGTCTATTGTACTACATTGTAAATCCAACATTCTAAATTAGATCTTACCTGTAACTGAGAAAGAACTATTTTGCTTTTTTCTATTTCGGATGCTTGTGAATGTTGCTGTTCTGCTACTTGTTTTACAACTTCAATTAATGATGGAGAATTTTGCTTAGCCATTTCTAGACAAAAGGGTAGTATTGTGAGAACACAGAATAAAAATATATTGTTTTCACATAGTCTAGTTTGATTCCCATGTTAAACAGTTGATAAAGACAAAGGACAAAATATTCTTGGACTTACTCTTCATATAAGAACCCAGATCAATAAATTATTCCTCATGGCCCATTTTTGATCATCAAGGAAACATAATTAATGGTCTGAAACTCAAAGGAAATGATGATAGAGGATTCAAAATCTACACTGCTGTGTTTCTTCTGTAAAACTAAAATTTTTCCTTTGTTGGGTGTTATAAATATTCTTCCTGCTGGTTCATGGGGCAGATCCTCATCTGGTATGAACAGTCATAGCTGCATATGGTCGCAACGTGTGCTGAGGATCTGTTCCCATATTGTTTGCTTACAGTTCTAATGTAATTCTAACATTGCAACAGCAATATGTGATTGATGCAATTTAATCATAAACTCCTATTATATTTAGAGCTGTCAAGCGATTAAAAAAATTAATCATGATTAATCGCGCGATTAAAAAAAATAATCATGTGATTAATCACGCTGTTAAACAATAATAGAATACCATTTATATAAATATTTGTGGATGTTTTCCACATTTTCAAATATATTTATTTCAATTACAACACAAAACAAATTGTGTTTGTTATATTATTTATATTATATTATTTATATGCTTTATATTATATGTACAGTGCTCTCTATATATTTATTTTTATTTTAAATATTTGCACTGTAGAAATAAGGGAAATAGTATTTTTCAATTCACTTAATACATGTACTATAGTGCAATTTTTTATCATGAAAGTTGAACTTATAAATGTAGAATTATTCACAAAAAATAACTGCATTCAAAAATAATACAATTTAAAACTTTAGTGCCTACAAGTCCACTCAGTCCTACTTCTCGTTCAGCCAATCGCTAAGACAAACAAGTTTGTTTACATTTGCAGGAGATAATGCTGCCCGCTTCTTGTTTACAGTGTCACCTGAAAGTGAGAACAGGCATTCTCATGGCACTGTTGTAGCCAGGATTGCAAGATATTTATGTGCCAGATGTGCTAAAGAGTCATATGTCCCTTCATGCTTCAACCACCCTTCCAGAGGACGTATGTCCATGCTGATGATGGGGTCTGCTCGATAACGATCCAAAGCAGTGCAGATCAATGCATGTTCATTTTCATCATCTGAGTCAGATGCCACCACCAGAAGGTTGATTTTTTTTTTGGTGGTTTGGGTTCTGCAGTTTCTGCATTGGAGTGTTGCTCTTTTAAGACTTCTAACAGCATGCTCCACACCCCGTCCCAATCAGATTTTGGAAGGAACTTCAGAGTCTTAAAATTTGGGTCAAGTTCTGTAGCTATCTTTAGAAATTATCTTTAGAAATGTCACATTGGTACCTTCTTTGTGTTTTATCAAATCTGCAGTGAAAGTGTTCTTAAAAGGAACAACATGCTAGGTCATCATCCGAGACTGCTATAACGTGAAATATATGACAGAATGTGGGTAAAACACAGAGTAGGAGACATACAATTCTCCCCCAAGGAGTTCAGTCACAAATTTAATTAACACATTATTTTTTTAACGAGCGTCATCAACATGGAAGCATGTCCTTTGCAATGGCGGCCAAAGCATGAAGGGGCATATGAATGTTTAGCATATCCAGAACATAAATACTTTGTATTGCTGGCTACAAAAGTGCCATGTGAACGTCTGTTCTCACTTTCAGGTGCCATTGTAAATAAGAAGTGGGCAGCATTATCTCCCGTAAATGTAAACAAACTTATTTCTCTTAGCAATTGGCTGTACAAGAAGTAGGACTGAGTGGACTTGTAGGCGCTAAAGTTTTACATTGTTTTGTTTTTGAATGCAGTTATGTAACAAAAAAATCTACATTTGTAAGGTGCGCTTTCACGATAAAGAGATTGCACTACAGTACTTGTATGCGGTGAATTCAAAATTATTATTTGTTTATCATTTTTATGGTGCAAATATTTATAATAAAAATAATATAAAGTGAGCACTGTACACTTGTACACTTTGTATTCTGTGTTGTAATTGAAATCAATATATTTTAAAATATAGAAAAACATCCAACATATTTAATAAATTTCAGTTGGTATTCTATTGTTTAACTGTGTGATTAAAACTGCGATTAATCACGATTAATTTTTTTGAGTCAATCACGCAAGTTAACTGTGATTAAGCGACAGGCCTAATTTTATTGCTTATTTATCCCTTTATTCCTTCTTCAGGTAAAACAAAAAACAGGAAAAACTGAAAAAAAGACACAGTAGTGAAACAATAATAGAGAACACAATGTGTTTGTCAGATTGACTTTACTTACAACCATTTACCTGAAGCCTATTGATATTGTTTGTATCACTTCAAATAAAGGTTAATTAAATACAGAAAATCACTGTACAGTCAGGTAAACTGGCTAAATGCTAAATGCTCTGGAAAAAATGTGCACGAAAGGGGCACATATCAAGGATATCTTCAGTACTAAACTGCAGTCACCAGCACATAATTTAGCCATGAACTGGGTCTGTGGGGAGTATTGGACATGAGCAGCTGCTTTTCCCCATACAGTTCTGGCCTTGTGGAGACCTGCTGTGTACGGACAATGTAGCCATAGCTCAATTAGGAGAGCCACTGAGGACTACTCCGTTTTCCAGCATTTTTGTCCACAATAGGAAAATGCAGAGATTTTCCTTTCAGATGATTTCTCTATACCATTTTGAGATAAGGGAGGGGCAGGGATAATGATCAAATACATTTCAATTTATTTTAAATCAGGAAAACAACTATGCCCGCTTCTTTAGGTGAAACTGAATACTAGTGGGACTCCTGAACTCTTCGCCTGTCTACACTCTTAATTCACCCTCTATTCTATTCAACATTACTTTGGCAGCTGCAATTTCTGTGGACGACGTATCTGTGGCATAAATAAATAGTCTTGAGATTATGGGAGCAGTCCTAATCTTACCACACAGGATCGTATTATGAGTCACGATGATATTTTGTGTTTTGCTTAAAGCCCAAGCTTCTGAAGTAATATTATTGTCAGAATCTCAGTTGTCATTTTTTTAAAGAGTAAGTTTCTGGCCCTAGTGCTTGCAGAGAAAACAAAAACCTTAAAGCCTCAAGAATCAGAAGGCAAATAAAAAGACCCCCACATTTATTATTGTTGAAAGAAAAGCTCATGATATTTAAGCCAATCATTTAATTTTTTGAGGCCTGATTCATGATTTAAAAAAAAAAAATTTAATCCTTAGGGTTGGCTGTTCTGCAGCCCTGAGAAATTCCCCTGACGAAAACCTGAGGTTAAACAGATCTGCTCCATAGGGTGCGGGAGTCACATTCCCTCTGTGTGGCCTTTGCTCCCTGGCGGCTATGTGCAGTGGAGATGTGACATGTGTGTTTTGGGCCTTTTACAGCCAGGGGCTGCCCATGGGATTTGACTCAGGATTAATTCTAATATAGAAGTCATCCAGTAAGTGGGTAGCATCAGTTAGTATTGCCCTCAGAGGCAGTGCTCGCCCACAGAGGGCCCTAAGCAGGAATATTCCCCCCCCCCCCCCCCGCCAAACTAATAATGAATAGGGGGCCCTCTTGAGCTGCTTGGGGCCCTAGGCAATTGCTCAGTCTGTTTATGCCTAGGGCTGGCTCTGATGGCCCTGGAGAAAGGTTTTGTGACAGCCCCTCTGAGGGGAGGAGTGTGCCAGGAAACCGGGGTGTGGTGTACGAAATAGAGCCAACGAGTGTCCCCCTCCCCTCCCATTCCACCAGGCAGTGGGAAGGGGGCTAGAGGTTGTGGCATTAAAAATAAACCCGCAAACAAAGAAAAGGGAGCGTGTGTGTGTGGTGGGGGGTCACCTGCAGTGCCACAACCAACCCCTGTGTACCTTGGGGTGAAGGGGGAAGCAAAGGAAACTGCTGCCGGGCCCCCCCCCAGCAGTGTCACACAGCCCCAGAGCAGGGCCTGCTGCTGCCTGCTCCCTCAGAGCAGGAAACCTGTGGTGGCCGCCCCTGCCATGGCTAGGGAGCGTCTCTAAAGAGGGGCGAAATGAGAGAGAAGAATGAAGGGAGTGTCTAAGCAGGAGAGAGCCAGCAGGGAGACAAGGAGGCAAAGGGGAAGTGCAGTATTGCCAACTTCAAGAGATCAAACATTGTGAGTCGGAGCTTCCAAAATCTTGGGATTGGCCCCCCAAAAAATAACATTTAAAAAAAAGATGATATTGTGTTTTTTAGGCCAGTCTCTTGATTTTGGGGGGAAAAAATACAAAAAAACACCTGGCCCATCCCCAGGGTGTGTGCATGTGACAATTAGTGTTGCCCACTCTTCCACATGTACCGGATAAGGTCATTCTGGCCCCCGCTGCAGGTGCTCTCACCCCCACATCTGCCCGTCTTCTGCCCAGCAATTAATCCTGTCCTCCAGACCCCCATCAGTTCAGTACCCCAGCCCCCATCATCACCATCCCATCAGTTCAATCCCCCTACACTATCGACCTCCACTGCCCTCAGTTTACCCTCCCAGAACTCACCCAATCTGCTCAGAACCAACCATCAATACAGCCCCTCCACCCATCAGTCCCCGCCCTCCTCACTTCAGCCCCCTCAGGAAACCCCCAGGCCAGGGATCGGCAACCTTTGACATGCAGCTTGTCAGGGTAAGCACCCTGGCGGGCCGGGCCGGTTTGTTTACCTGGGGGGGAGGGGCACGGGAAGCAGCGGCCAGCACATCCCTCGGCCCGCGCTGCTTCCAGAGCCCCCATTGGCCTGGGACGGCGAACCGCAGCCAGTGGGAGCCGTGATCAGCCGAACCTGCGGATGTGGCAGGTAAACAAACCGGCCTGGCCCGCCAGCGTGCTTACCCTGGTGGGCCATGTGCCAAAGGTTGCCGATCCCTGCCCCAGGCCATAATTCAACCCTCCCAGCCTCATCTCTGCTCCTCTTAGGGTTCTTCACTCTCCACAGGCCTGG